CTCTATGTTTATTCCATATTCTTGGAGTAACTCTTCTACTTACAGACTGAAGCCACCTTTGAATATTAGCATTGTTTGGGACAAATTATTAACAGTTGTGCTATGCATGAAGAATAATTTTAAAAAGTGAGCAATACACAAAAATCATGAAAGAAGAATTCTGCACCTTGTCTTTTTTCTCACTTCCTAGAGATATATAATTGTTTAAATATTCATGGCTAAGGACCCAACGAAAGCTTTTGGAACATGTTTGTAAGAGTCTAATACAAATTTCATGGTTATATTAAAAGAGGTCTTTTATATTATTTTTTTCTCAAATAACAATGAGGATACTTTTCTATCTACAGCAACCAGATTTATTACTTTTAGTGAGCAGAAATAACAGAAGATTAATACAATTGTTTTATTTTCTCAGTTCACCAGTAATTTCCTTTAACTCTCCATTTGTTTGAATAAATGTATTGGTTCATAATAGCAAATATGTGTTCTTTGATGGTAATGCTGTCACTTTTCATTTATTTCCTGCAGAACCAAAGGCTCATTGTAAATGGATGAATACTGCAGCTGTTTCTACAAAACCGTTCAGTTTGTTTAATTAAATTTATTTGCCTGAAGCACATGATATGTTCTAAAATATTAGTAGTTACAGCATTTTATTTTAAAATATCCATTATTTTAATTTATTTTCTTTTGCTAAAATTTCATGAATAAGCCAGAGGTTCTTCATATGATAAGCACAAACTAATTTCAAGGTATCCTCTAAAGACAGTATCTTTAAACCCAATTGTTACATCTTTCTGAAGAATTTACTTCAACAAACTACCTATTTTGAAATGTTACAACTGAAGCTTAAATATACCATGCAATTGCTCTTTTGATCTTGATTCCAATTACTCTGAAATAAGAGAAAATCTATTAATCTTAACAATAGCAAAAGAGTAATGTAGAAAGGAAATCTTTGAGTTCTGTTTAACTGTATCACCTTCTTTATGAACTACTATCCATGGCCCCTGCTTAGACTTTTTAAAAATCAATAATGAAGCTGTTACAGGAAAGATCCAACTCTGGAAAGTCAGTCTGTCTCTACCGCAATTCTCAGTACATGTTAATTAATGTAATTTGATAAAAATCATTCACTTCAAAATCCATATATTTTTCAATGTTTATTCTTCTCAGTTTATTAATGAAGACTTGCATTGGCTTGATATTCAAAACTTTATATTTGTTTTGAATTATTATTTTTTCTTACTATAGTTTCTAAATGTTCTTACTATGGGACTATTTTCTCATAATTGATATGAAACTTTGGGCATAATTACACTTATCTTATACTTAAAATAAAAATTATAAATATCCTATTTTTTACTTCAAGTTTCATCTCAAAGAATTACAAATATAATTTATAGTAAATGTTTACCTTTAAATAGACAGAATAGCAAAACTTTTTCTTATCTATGCATGAATTATTTCTTAAACATTTAAAAAAATGCACAAATCTGAAAAGTTTTGTAAGTTCCAAATAGCATAGAATAACAAAAATTCATCTAAGCACACTATATGCAACTACTATACATCAAAAATATGGTTATAATTAATAAAAAAGTTTAAAAGTAACAGTATATAGTGTGGGCCTGTGATCCAAGTTCTTGAAAGGCCTAAGCTAAAAGCTCTCCAGTTCAGGCCAGCCTGGGATACATAAGGAGACCTAGGCAGGAAGGAGCAGGGGAAGAGAGCTTAACACTTAGCAGAAGGAAGAAGCAGTATCAAGTCCAGGAAAACAAACAACACTTTTCACAGAAACAACCCAAACTGGAGGACAAGGAGGATCAGAAGAGGAGGAGGAGGGAGAGGAGGAGGAGGAGGAAGAGGAGGAGGAGGAAGAGGAGGAGGAGGAAGAAACGGAGAATCAACATTTAGCCAATAAAAACTATTCTGGAAAAATTAAAATTAACTAGAAAGTTTCAGATTAACAGAGGCCTCAAGTTTCATTTCTGGTTTCACAAAACTGATTGTGAGAAATGGTTCCATCCTAATATCACCAACCCGTTTGATAATATCTACAATGTTTTCTAACAGTGATGACCAACTTTGTTTTACAAACATTCATATATCACTTTATCTAATACACACTCACACACACACACACACACACACACACACATATATACATATATATGTATATATATATTCCTTTTTATTGTACAAAGAACACAATCTAAGCGAAACTTTACTCTAGACCATACATTAATTCTGAATGAAATTTAAATGTTGTATATAATGGAGATTATACTTTTTTCCTTTAAATGTACACTAATTAGCAATCCTGTGTTATCTAGGAAGACCCTAAAGGATTGGTGGAGGAGGGAAATATTATATAATTCCAAATACTTTTAAGCAATTTCTGCATCAAAGCAAAAATACAGAAAGAATTTTGAAATATTTTGTCCTGAAAGATATCAAAATTTGAAACTTAAATCTTATATATTCTAAAAAGAGAATTCACATCAAATGCATATATAAAATGTATATAGATGGAAGATAAATGGGAAATATTTGTTTTATGTATAGTCAAAACTATAATAGAGAAAATAAAGCTCACTGATTCTCTGCTCTCCTATAGTTTGTTATAGAATATTGATTAAAAAAGTGATGAATTAGAATATAATACATACTTTGAGAAAAGTAAAAAGCAGAGGGTAAGAGAGTTTGAAGAGTGCTGTGGGTGTTTCTGTTAGAGCAAGGTCTTGCTGAGAAGACCCAAAGGAGATGATGAGAGGCAAGCATAAAGAAGATTTACCAAAAGGTAAAAGAGCAAAGGACACAGGCAGAAGTGGCTTCAGCTGGCTAACACCATAAACAGGACAGTTGTCGCAACGAGCATCACAGAGAAATCAAGCTCAAGAGCAAGACAGTGAAGCTGGAGAAATCAGCATCTGCAGAGCTTCATGGGCCATTCTGAACTTTTGTTCTACAGGAAGGAAGAGCTTTTAGAAGTTTTCAATGATGTGATGAAATCTGTATTCACTGGCATCCATTGAGCTGACAGTAAGCTGTAGCTGGCAACTATGGACACAGGCAGAACGGTAATCCAGATCAGAGAGAAAGCCACGCTACATAAGACCACAGTGCTACAAAAGGGAAGGACATCATAAAGGTAGAAAAGCATAATTTTCAGACATACTCAATGGACAGTCTGGGAAGAGGATGTAAGTTCACAAAAACTGATTATACCTTCATTATTCTTTTTAGAGAATAACTTCCTATAATCTGAGATAGCCATGTCATCAGTAGCTGAGAGTTAAGTGTGGATGCAAATTTTAAATGTCAACTTGACTAGGATAAAGAGTATGTGGATAGTTGGTAAAATACTATTTTTTAATCTATCTACAAAGGTTTCTGGAAAGATTAGCATTTGAATGGCAGAGAGAAGACAATATGCCCTAACCAGAGTAGGTAGATGTCATAAAAATAGGGCATATAGAACAAACAAAATAGTGGAGGGGGAGTGATTTTCCTCTCCCCTGGGACTGGGGCACCAATCTATTCCACCCTTGAATAGAAAACACTAGGTTGTGGAGCCTTTGGAATCCAGCACTTCTATCATCAGCCCCAGACTCCTAGTGTTTGGGCCTCAGACTGTCATACCACCAGCATCCCTGGAACTGAGGCTTTTGGTTCAGTCTCAACAGCAACCCCTGATTTCCTGTTTCTCTATGCAGCTCATGGAACACACTCTGGAACTTCAGGTCTCCATGATCAGTGGAGTCAATTCCCATAATACAGCCATATATATATATATATATATATATATTTTTTTTTTCTATGAGTTCTATCCCTCTGAAAAGCCCTAAGGGACACATGCATCAATAAAGGGAGAGAAAAATACTTTTCTGTACATAGATGAGACCAACTGTGTAAAGAATCAAACGCCAATAATGTGGAAAGGAAAGCAGAGTGAAAAGCCTTCAGAACCTGTGTGAGCTACAGAATCCAAAGGGCATTCACAGAAGGTGCCCTTGAGAATCCAATGGGATTCTCCACAGTAGCTTGGGAGTATGAGGCTCACAAGCTTCTCTGAAGCTGTGGATATTCTGCCTAAATGTCCTAATTCTTCTTCTCCTTCTTCTACTACTACTTCTTCTTCTTGTTCTTTTTTTCTTTTCTCCTCCTTATTCTTCTCATCCTCCTCTCCCTCCTCTTCCTCCTTCTTAAGTAAAATAAGGATAAAAGACCATCTTTTCTGAAGGAAAATAGAAGGAAGAGGAGCAGAGCTTTGAAAAGTTAGGACAATGCATGAAAAGTTCTAGGCAGGCTCAAAGACAAAAGGTATTTGCACTGTATTAGTGACCTAAATCAGAACAAGGGTTGTGAACTTCAAGTCATCTCACTCAATATGATCCTCTTTAGTTTTCTGTGTGGGCTCAGAGAACAGATAGGAAAGGACAATAAACTAGAAAATTAAGTGGAAAATCTCTGATTAATGCCACAAGAAGAAATGGCAATTTGAGAACTACATTGCCTGGCACTTAGGTGACATCATGACAGAAAAGCCACTCTTCCCTAACTCTTACACTGAAAAGGTCAGAAACTGAAGCTCATAAAAAGAGTAAACAATGATGGAGAGAGATACCAGCAACAAACTCCAAGCTTCTAAATTGACCTAGTACTTCCCAGAAAAAATACCAATTTTGTTTTGGAAGAATTGGGCTATTAAATATGTATAACTGATTGAATATCAAATACAATTTCTTATCATTAAAAACAATGTCGAGCAAAATGTGTTGGAAACTTTTGGCACCAACTTTGATGGGCACTTCAAATGAAACCATTGTTATAAATTTGCATAGTTCCTTTAAAAACTGTCATCACATATTTCAAATATCTGGTTATTCAATAGGGAAAATTCTCCAACATTCTCTCTGATTATTCAGTCAAGCAATATCGGTACTACTGAGGAAGAATTGTGTAGAAGTAACTAACATTCCAAGTTGCTAGGAAACAAGAACTGTATGATAGATCCTCTAAAGTTGGAGGTCTCTGGTAAGAGAAAAAAAAAAGAGAAATTCAAAATGTGAGAGGCATTCATTCTGACTTCATTAGTCTGAAGACAGATGGAGAAAGGAATACAAGCAGCTCCATGGGGAAGGCAGATCCCCAATGACAGCAGGTAAGTCCAGTGGTTTTAAAGACCTATATTTGCATAAGTTAGGTGTGTGTGTGGTGGGCTTGTTCTGAATACACAGAAGGTTTGTAGGAGAAACTCCCATCACCTTTCTTTCACTGGAAGGAGCTAAGTGGAAAAAAATTAATGAATTTTTTTAATCTTATTATAGCAAATAGAATAGCAGAATTTAGTATGACTTTCTTTTACACCACTAACCTTTCAGTCTTACCTTCACCCACTTTGCCCTGACTTCTAGTTAATAAAATATGGGTAGCTGCTCTGCAGAAGTTGAATGGGTAGATAAAGGGCAAGCACTCAACATGGACAATGAGCATTGATATTAATAATTACTAATGGCATTGGTAACATCCTTGAGTAATATATCTCCACCTATTGAAAACCACTTTCAATCTGCTGTTAAGTCAAGTGGAAGATCTAGTGCTCTACATTTATTTCAGCTCTACATGCCTATTGAAGAGTGTTGAAAGATGAGTTTTCTCAATAGGCCCTTTAGCACCATCACAGCATCAATCACTCTGTTTCCAGCTCAGTTGCTCAATTTCTTCTGAGCTCTTTGTTAATCTTCATTAGTACATCGGTATGCTGACATTCATAACTAATTTACTTGAGGCTTTAAATGTGCCCAAGACATCCAGCAGAGGACACTGGATACTTTGCTAGTCATTGCTCTCATCGCACCAGAAGCTTTGCTGGGAAGTCTACTTTCGAACAGCTTACAGTCCTTTTCATTGAGTAACCTACCTGGGCAGCTGAATGAGATAGACTATCAGTTGTGATGAATCTTTTCTCTCTGCCCCCAGATTTACTGAGCTATAATTGACAAATAAAAATTGCATGTGTACAGGTGCCACAGTGTGATGTTTTGATATACATATATATTGTAACATAATATCCCAATCAAGCTAATTAACATATCCATCATTTCACATAGTTACCCTTGTGCTATTATGCTTATGTACCTGGGGAGAACATTTGGTATCCACCCTTTACCAATAACAAGGAGACAATCCATTGTTATTAGCTTTATTAATTGAGTTGTTTATTATTCTCCAAATTAATTCATCTTGTAATTGAAAGTTTGTACCTTTTGACTCATAGACTGATCCTTCCTCATCCTCCAAACACAGGTCATCAATATTCCTTTGTCACTTTCAGACAAGTTTTTGAGATATTTCTGTAAATGATTTTGTATAGTGCTTGTATTTTTGTGCCTGGTATATTTCTGTTAGTAAAATGTCCCTGAATTCCATCCATGTTTTGCAAATGGGAAGATTTTGTGGCTTAAAGATACTGTTATATTTCCTGTGTCTATTCATTTGTTTCTATAGCAACACATATGAACTCTAGGTTTTTCCAATATCATAACTATTGTGAATTGTACAGAAATGAACATGGGAATACAAATATTTCTTTAACATAGTGACTTTATTTCTTTGAACACATTTTCCTAACTAGGATTGCTGGGCCATACAATGGGTATATCTAAATTTTTTTGAGGTGCTTGCTTTGGGTTTTTATGATGGCTACATGTCCCTCCCATCACTAGAATACAGGGTGTTTTTTTATTTCTCCACATCCTTGTGAAGTCATACGTTTTTACTTTCCAGTAATACATTCCAAGGGTTTTGAATTGTTCACCTGGGTACTGATCAAATGAAGCGTGATTTTCCATAGGCCTGTTGGCCATTTGAATATCTCCCTAAACAGATTACTACCCTTGGCAATTTTCAATTAAGTTGTTTATTACACCGAACTATATGAATAACTTATGTATTTTGGATAAATGAAGCCTCTGTTGGGGATGTGATTTGCAGATATTCCATCCATTCAGTAAATTTCCTTCTTACCTTGTTGATAGTTCATTATCCTGGGCTTAAAGATTTTAGTTTTATGTAGTTTCACTTCTTTATTTTTGCTTTCATTGACTAGGCTTTGGTGTCACATCCAAGAGCACATTGCAAAGAACATCTATGTCTGGCTTTCCCGAGAACAGTTTCACAAATGCAGGTCTTACAGCAAAGTCATGCATTTATCTTGAGTTATTTCTATGTATGCTATCAAGGTAGAATTTGATTCTTTGGTATGTGGCCATCCAGTTCTCCCACACCACTTAAGAGACTATCCTTCCCAATGTATATCTTGAATACTAAAAACAATTTATCAATGTGCTTAAATATGGACTTATTCTAAATTATCCATTCTTTTCCATTGGTCTAGTGTCTATTTTTCTATCTGTACCAGTAGTGTAACTTAGTAACAATGTGAAACCAAAAAGCTTCATGTTGTAAGCTTTATTCTTGCTCAAAATGACTCTAGTTATTAGAGGTCTTTTGTGGTTTCATACAAATCTTACATTATTTTTTCAAAAAATCCATTGGTATTTGATAAGAATACCAATACTTTTATTTGTGCTTTAATTTTCTTTGTATAATAGTTTATGGTTTTTAGTGAACAGACTATTTATGTCCATGGTTAAATTTAATTCTAAATAATTTATTCCTTTACTGACATTATAAATGGGATATTTTCCAGAGCTCTGTCTTGGAAAGTCCCTTGTTTCTGTGTAGAAGCCCAGTCAAATGCTGCATGCTGTTTTGGTATATTGCAACATTCTCCTTATTTAGCTACTTACTGTAATAGTTTTCTGTGGCTTGTTTAGAGTTCATGACATCTGTGAGCAGATATAATTTCACTGTTTTGACATAGATTCCTTTAAATTTTTTCTCTTGCTTGAATTCTGAAGCAAATCTTCTGGTATAATGTTGAAAAGAACTAGTGAGTGAATGCACATTGTGCTGTAACTGATCTTGGAGGAAAGGGTTTCATCTGTTTACCCTTGAATAATATGTTAAGTGTTGGTTTATCACATATAGACTTGATCAAGTTGAGGCACATTCCTCCTATACCTAACTTGTTATTTTATGGTAAAAGTTGTTCAGTTTTTTTTTTCAAATACTTTTTCTGACTCTTAAGATGATCATATTTTTGTCCCTTTTTAAACTTTAAAAAATAGTAATGATACAATATTTCTAATTAAAAATTGCTTTATAGGACTTAAATATACCATAATTTCTCATATTACAATCATTTTGTTGTATTTCTTTCTTTGTTTGTTTTATTAGCATGTACTAATTACACAGAATAGTGGGTTTCATTATATTCTTATAAATACATATATATGTATATATGTATCTTACCTTCGTCTTCCTATCTAGTCCAGCTTCTGCCTTCATGTCATTTGTGTGTGACATAATGAATTTAATTAAGAATTACTACAGCAATATGTGTAAGGAGTTATTTACAAGAGCATAGACAACTTACCAATGGTTACCCCAATGAAGAAAATGTCTTTCCTCCAATAACAATTAATTCCTCTCAAATCATCAGGGAAGGATGGAAGCCCCTTGCAAGCCCCTCTCTCATGTGGTATAGGATCTTATGGGGAATATTCTGAATCACTCTTGCAAACTAGGGATAATTCTTACTTTTTAAAAGTCTATTGAATTTGGTTTTCTAGTATTGTGTTGAAGATTGTTTGCAACTGTTGTTCATAGAGGGTATTGATCTGTTATTTGTGTTTCTTGTATAATACTTTTCTTGCTTTAGTTGGGATAATGATAACCTAGAAAAAAATGAGAACTTCTAAATGTTTAAGTTTTTGGTTTGTGTGTTTGCTTTCTATAAAATTAGTTTTTAGAGTTATCCTTTTAGGTTTTGGAAGTATTTGAAAAGCTTTGGCACTAATTATTTTAAATATTAGTTAGAGTCTACCAGGAAGACCCTTTTACTTGTTGAGAAACTTATTCATTGTTCTCTTCAGATTTTCTGTTTTTATATGAGTTGATCTTAGTGGCAGGCACCTAGCAATTAATCTCCTTCTAAATTATCTCTCTTGTTGGACTTTAATTGTTCATCCTAGACCCAGGATACCCCATGATCTCATGATCTCTTTTTGTTAGCTATCAATAGGTTAAATGTTCTTTTCCAGAAACATGAATGTTATTCATTTTCTATTGGTTTCTAGATTCATTTTACCTATGGTCTTTGCTATTTTATCCTTTCTGCTGATTTTCAGCTTCGATTATACCGTTTCTCATTCTTTGCAGTTACCCATTTGTGATGGTTCTCTTACTGCTGTGTAGGCACTCATTACTCTAACCATCCTTCTCACAACTTATTTTACTTCTGTTATGATTTTTTTAAACTTTTTATGGCCTTGCCTGGCCTGGAACTCTCCACATAGACCAGACTGTCCTTAGATTCACAGAGATCAGTCTGTCTCTACTTTTCAATTGCTGTGATTAGGGGTGTGCATCAGGCCTGCTTCTCTGCTTCTTACAATTTGCCTTGCTGATCTCATAAATTTTGATTTTTTTTTTTTGAGCTGAGGATTGAACCCAGGGCCTTGTGCTTGCTAGGCAAGCGCTCTACCACTGATCTAAATCCCCAACCCGATTTGTTGTATTTTTATTTATATCTGTACCGAAACATGTTTTGATTTCCCTTTTGAAGTTTCTTGACTCACTTGTTTTTATAAGTATACTGTTAAATTTTCATGTGCTTATATTTCCAGTTTTCCTCATGTTACTGATTTCTAATTTTACAACATTGGGAAGGTTACTAGATATGATTGCAGCCTTTGGAAACATTTTAAGACTTTTATTGCTTAGTATGTACTCTGTTGAAAAAATGTCATTTTTGAGTTTTAGATCCTTATCCTGCTACTGCTGGGTAGAAAGTTTTGAGTATCTCTCTTAAGTCCATTTGGCCCAAGATGTTCCTCAACTCCGATGATACTACATAGTTTCGGGTATAAATAATGTACACATTGTGAAAACTGGAGTATCAAATCTCCTTGTGTTATTGGAATGACTTTTCTTACTCAAGATTGGTTAATAATTCCTTTATTCAAATGATCTGATACTATATTTATGGACCTTTCCATTTATTATGATTTTTTAATAAAGTCACTGCTTCCTTAT